ACAACAGCCGAAGGCCCCAATGGGTCTTCAATGCAACGAGAAACTCCCGCACCCGGAGGCGTCCTTCAGCTGGCCCCTAAACAAATATGTATACTAGTTCAGTGATAATGGACGTCATACTAAACTCCAAATTATACACAAGAAACTAAAATTAAAAATGATACAAGACTAACAATGGCCAGAGGCTCCTGACTTGGGACAGGCGCAAAAATGCGGCAGGGTTAAACATGTTTTTTGAGATCTCAATCCTCCCCCTATACCTCTAGCCAATGTAGAAAAAACAAACGTACAACAGTACGCACAGTAAAACTTAGTTTAAGAGAAGTCCGAGTCCGATGTCAGAATAGGAAACAAAAGAAAATAAACAAAATGACAATAATACATAAATAACAACAGACTACTAGCAGTTACTGACATGCCAGCTCCAGACCTCAATTCAACTGATTGAAAGATTATGTCTTCATCATATAAATACCAAGCACAATCCCTCCTGTTAGGATTTTAGTATTATACCATCATAAAATATATGAGAAGAACATAACCCTCTGTCATGCCAGCAACTGGTTTTAGAATACATATATTTAATTCCGATGCAAAGACCCTATAAGTGAATCAATATTAAAGCCAAAAATATGCAAACTTTAATGACCTGACAACAGTATCGTAACTGTTTGTTTTAAAACAGATGTAAAATATCGTTAACTGTGAAACGAATAGATTTTTGAGGCGCGAATCAGTCAACGAAATGGTTTTTTGGTGCCTTTCTTCTTTTACATTTAAATGTTGACATTCGTTTCTGTTTAATAACTGAACACAATTAGAATACGCGTGATCCATGGTCAAATCAAATATTGCATGAATACAGATTTAAATGAGTTGTATTATTGATTTGCAAGCCAATAATAAATTACCGATGTCTTTGAGCTAATTTTGGACCAAACTGACAGCTTATAGCGAAGTAGTATACCAATGTCAGGTAAAAGAATCCAAAGTCCGTGTATAAATATATAAACATCAAGATGAAAACAGTCACAATCATATGTAGGTTAATAGAGTCAGACCAAGAGGTCTTTGATATATATGTGTCACATAATCTTCTCTTTTTGATTTGCATTCAATGGTATGACGTTGCTTATATGTTTATATTTATGTATGATTTTTTAATATGTTCCAATTTATGGTATGCATGTATCATATAAAAAAGAAGAAAACACAAGGACGCGGAAGGGGTTAAATCTATTTATTCACATAAATACTAATATCATCAGTATTGACAGACCTGAAACAATTTTTGTCAATAGAAATGCAGAACACTTTGATAAAAATATTGGAAATGATAAAATCTGTAAAGTGTCAAATGATATTATCCTATTTCATATTAATGACGTCAAGTTGATGAAACTTGTAAGACTTAAATGATTGATAGTTTAAATTTTTTTTCCAAACCGAAACGGCCATTTTGATTTAAGCCAAAGAAAATATGAAAAGATTAAGTAAGTTTTTTTTATTCAGTGTTGTAGTCATTTTTTGACTTTTCCATATGAATTATGATTTGACACTTTGCTTTCGCTCGCAGTAAATCATGGTCTGTATAGCCTCTTTAGAGACTATAAAGGACATGTATTGTATATCTACTATGCCTTAAATAAATACCGAATTGACTGAAACGTGACTGAACAAACTTTAATTTGTCTCCTAGAAAGCAGACGTTCCAACCATTGCTTACAGAACGAATTGCATTATCAAAGACCTCTGTGGTATTACTAATCTTGAAGCAGCAATTTGACAACCATTGAACAACAGCCAATTAATCTGTTCAGTCTGTTAAAGAATAAAGTTCCAATATTAATTATATGTATAGAACATTTGTTGCTGAACTGCCTGAAACGTTATTGAACATATTATTTATAGCTATATTGTCTAAACAATACCAAATTACAACTAAGAATGCATTTTCAAAATATTTACAAAATAATTCATTATTCAAAGACATCTCAGTTTGAATTTATGTCAAAATGGTGATTTTCAGTCTGTGCAAATTAATTCATGCATGTCGTGTGGATGGACCAACACATATGACAAAGTTTGTATTTTTTTAATCAGTTTATGATTGCAGTAGTCTAGAACCGCAAAGGAATATGGTATATTATTGTCACTGCTTTTAGTTTGCAGGTGAACCAAATTATAATCTGGGTACGTATCTTTGATGAATTTTTACAACAAACGAAGGTGAACTTATTATAGAAAGGGATATATATTTTTATGATCCATTTTGTAACATCTTGTGATACGTTTATTTGGCAATCGCCAATGGCAGTCAGCAGGGTTTAAGAACATCTGTTGTTCGACCTGTTAGTCAAATGCGTTTTGTTAAAATATACTTTTTCACTTTTTTGGTCTTTTGGAAAATGTTGTTTGTGCTGTATTTAGACCCCTCTACCAAGAAATTTGTTTTGCATGCACACGTATAAAAATTGCGGTTTTCAACCAACGCAATCATAGGTTTGAACGTTGTTTTTAATTTAGACTTGTTTATATATATATATATATATATATATATATATATATAAGTACGTCTGAACCACTGACGACTCTACAACAGATTTTATCCATCGGATCACCAGCAGTGATGGTGATACAAGGCTGAAAATACATTCTCTATATATAATTTGTCTAAACAACAGCCAAACAATGTTAGATCTGTAAATTTGCGGAAGCAAATGTTTAGTTTTTCCCTGGCCGGAATTCGAACTCATGCTATTGAGATATCGTGGCACCAAATCGCCTTGCACTATGCCTGACGCGCTAGACCACTCGACCACCTAGGCTCTATAATAATAAAGCTTTCGGTAGCCCGATGTTACCTTTCCTCATCAGTTTTTATCTAGCGTCGTAACACAGTACATGATATATAATGCATAAAGATGGAATTGTTACAGATCAGCTGAACTATCTATTGTAAAGGATTAACGTAAGATGCAGTATCCCGGCCAGGGAAGAACAAAAAATTCGCTTCCGCAAATTTACAGATCTAACATTGTTTGGCTGTTATTTAGACGAATTATATATATATATATATGTGATAAGTACGTCTAAACAAGTGACAACTCTACGACAGATCCATCCATTGGATCACCAGTGAAGGTGATACACGACTGAAAACACATTTTATATTCATAACTACTCTAAATATCAGCACAACAATGTTAAATCTGTAAATTCAATGTTTGAAATGTCACCTTTATCATACATGTAATGTACATGCTTTATTCTTTATTATCAATGAACAGCTTTATATTATTCATGTATATCTACAACCAACAATCAATCAATCTTTTTGTAGATCCTTGATTTGTAATTGATTTCAAATATCCCCCCCCCCCCCCTGAAAGTAGATAAGATATAGAAAAACGATTATTCCACAAGGAGTATCTATGTAGCAGCAATATCTGTTCCAGTCTCTTATATAATTTGTTACTCCGGCTTAAACAATATTAAAACTATCTTTCCTAAAACATGGAATTCACTATCGATAATGTTATATACATGTAAAGACATATTTTCAATCGTTCTTTTAATTCCCTTTTGGAATTGAAGTATAATGTGAACCCTTAAACATAGATAGAGATGTTTATGAGGTTTTGCTGTACTTTAACATAATTCTTAATTAATATGTTATTCACATTATTCAATAGTGGACCCTGTCGCATTAATTGTTGAATCTGAATAAATGTTTAATCAAGGCTTCCTCGACAAATTGGCAGAAATCAACCTTCAGTGGATATTTAGTTTTATGATGTGACTGACTATTTTTGTAAACAATTATACAGCTTTTTAAAACGATTTCATTTGTATTCATTCGAAGAGAAATAGGGCGTCAATGTCATCTCTAGTTCTAAAATGTTGCAGAAGATGAAATGTAAATTTCCATTTTATCTTTTTTAATTTCATTTACATTAGATTGCTTTATAAAATAGACATTTATTAAATGAGCAAGTATTTTGATCATAATTTAAGATATGAAGATAACATCTTAAAAAATTTCTAATCGACAAATGTAAAACTGGTTAAATACAGACAAAATAAGGGTAGTCATTTCGTCTGTACGGCAACTGTTTAACATACCTGCACAAATCATCTATTAAATTACTAATATAAAACTACTTTAATTCTTTTTTTATTTCTATTCGATCCAAAGTCAATTTGTCTAACAGTGCTTAACACATGTAAACAAATGTGATGACCATTATGTACACAAATAAATCAAAATTTTAAATCTTGCTATTTCGTAATTATAAACGTTCACTTATTCACTTATACATATATGTATTTGAATATTAAAATAATAATCATCTGATTAATTTTGATCAGAAAATAAAGAAAATTACATGTATTCTAAGAATTAAATATTTTTTTCTGAATCTATCTTTCAAATTGATTTTATTCAACTGATTTTGTCCATGTTTGAATGGTATGCAATCTACCTTAGAAGTTATAGGACATCCTTAAATATTTCATTGTATGGCTTGAATTTAAGTTCGTTTTTAAAGACCACAAGCGAGCATCATTTGTGCATCTTACTCATTGTCGCATACAAATTACGCTCACATTGTCATTGCTATGTACAAATTAGCTTCGTACTTTTATAGGTGCAATACTTCAAATCATTTGCCTTTTCAACAGTTTTTCTGCATTCATATAAAAGCTGCGACAGTGTCCAGTCATAGAAATGTGTGTGAGCACAGCGATAAACAACATAGGCGTTGCTAATTGAAATCGACACTTAAGCAGTCTATCAAAGGAAAGCAATTTCTGTATAGTTATTATATCATATCTAATTTTGCATTTCAAATAGCTATATATCTATATTGATATATATGCTGTATTTTATGTTTTATCAACAGGTCATCGGAAAGGGTAACTTCGGATGTCGGAAATTAACATAAAGTGTTGAAGCGTACAGTGAACTATAAATATTCATATTTTCTCAGGTATAAATTATAATTTCATTTATAATTTGATGAGTATCATTAGTTATTTACTTGAGCACACAGGTAAGAGATTTAAAATGTTAATATTTGTTTATTCATTTGTATTTTTCTCTTGGTTAAAACTTTATTTCAGACGAGTTGCTTTTCCCAATATTTAGTTTTGGAGATATTATACTATATATGTCTTCATATTTCTTTTTATTTATTTCGATTTTCTACTTTTATTTTTGTTTTATTTTGTATGTTGTTATTTTTTTGAGTGAGTGCTTTTTTCAGAAATTTAGTAGTAATTTGTATTTTTGAGTCCGTCTGTCTAATTTGTATTTTTGAGTCCGTCTGTCTTCATTTCGGTTATTTTTAGTTTGTTTATATTTTCGGACGGAGATTCACAAAGAACACAACGAAATAGACAGCTTGTTGTGTATATCATCATATGCAAACATTATATGCACAATGTAAGAAAGAGCTCGCGTTGAATTTGTTTGCATCATGGTGTCATTCTTATGATAAAAGGCAGACGACCGGGCAGATGTGGTTTACCAACTGCATAGTTCTAAATAAAAAATTGTCATTTAAAAAGAACATCGAAATGTGCTATTAAATGCACCTCTCATTATTCTGGCTATTCACATCATAAAGTTTTGTATTTACTTTTTACATTCATATAATGAAGTTACATAAATATCATAAGTGCATTTAACTTCAAAAACTATAATATGAGGCTTTGTAAAGTAGTTATATATTCTTATTTGAAGTGCCGAATATATTATTTTATTTTAACTACTTATATTTTGTCCTTCTAAATCTAAATTATACATTTCACCTGATTCATGAATGTAGAGCAATTGTAATTTTACCACGGAAAAATAAAATTATGTTTTGATTAAATTTACATTCCCTTTTTTTTTACAATTTCAAAATGCTACTTATCACTGGAATTTCGCTATAAATGAGTGAAATAAGTGACTACTCCCGGAACAGGAACTGCGTACCTTTCTAGAGCATTTGCGCCTAACCTGCGTCCAACGACTGTTTTTTTTATAATATGTTATAGGAATATCAGGAGATTTTTCTTTTTAATGTATTGAAATTCATTACAGTTATTTTCGTGAACTCCAACACTATTCATGACGTTGCAATGAATGTGAAATATTCATCCAGAATTCATAAGTCTTTGTTTAGAAGTGATGTTTTGCAGACTGTTACTTATATTATCGTCTCTTTTCATTCTCATGCTGCTGTTTAGTATTTTCTACTGGAGATTTTAATTGTCCCTTTTTTTCTCCCAACTTTCAAAAAACCATAGTAATTACCTATGAAAACAGCTGTAAAATGAATATCATAAACGTTAAGATTAATTAGAAAAAAATGCTTTATCTTAATGAAATAGTAACCATAAAATAGATATTTTGTAATCATAAATTAAATTCAGCATGTACAATTATTCAACTCAAATGACCTTTTGAGAAATATGTTTGAAATATAATGAAATACAATATCAAAATACAGCCTATACGGTAATACAAATCATATAAGGTCCTACTTGTGTTTCCGGAGTATTTATATTCATATAACATTAACAAGATGGTTAAACTGTTGCCTTTTTGGCGTTAACATCCACCAATTCATTCATCCATCCATTTAGCCCGTTGTCCTAAATTGGCCGACCAAAATGATATAGTAAATGACTTATTACTTGTTCTGACTAATTACGTAAAATGGCGTATGATGCATGCACAGCATGAGACGCTTATCATGTGGACTCTCTCATTCTCGCTAATTTGTTGAGTTTTTATTTATATTGTTAGTTTCTTTTTGACGGATTTATGAAATTTGAACATTGGTAATCCAATATTGACTCTTTTTTATCACATGTAATTAATGTTGTTAGAGGATTGCAACTGGATCATGAGCGACTTGTATCAATTCACATATTTAAAGTTTCAAACAGTGATATAATATTTCTTATATTTTACCTGAATTTACATTAACATAATCGTGTATTTCTACACTGTTCGTCTCGCTGCTGTAGGACAGCTACGCCGGAATGAAGACGCTGATATTAGATTGTCGGACATTTTTGTATCAGCAGCTTCAATTCTAAACACTTGCTTTCAGAAACTGCAAACACTATGCAGATATGGTATAATTCAATCAGATTAACATATATGGGTTTTTTACTGGTGTATAATCAAGTATAGTACTCTTTTTAGCATAGTGTGATTAGCACAACTTTATTCTGAAAAACTACACGCCTGATTTCGTTATCTCAAATAATTTTTGCGTTGTAATGCTAAATATATTTTCGTTTCTATATGGTTAGGATTGTCTTGAGGCCTGTCCTTGTTATCAATTTCTATTAAATCCACAACTACATGTAACTAAGATGCGTCATAGGAATTAAACATTGTTAAGTTCAATGAAACTTTTGTTACCGCATTTTTATTATTGATGACTTGGTAGTTTTTGTGAATGCTTGAATATTATACCAGTCATTATCATTGATGTTAATTAATTTTTTTTCAAATTTTAATGCCGTTTAAGGAAAAACACTTGGTTTGCGGTTAAAATAAGACCAGTAATATGCAATTAGATTTAACTTTCACGTGTATACTAACATAATGATACTAGTAATAAAAAAGATATTATTAACAGGAATTATACAACAATATTGTACAGTACAACAGACTACACTAACAACCAACACGCGACTCCTCCAAAAATTAACTATAAATAGTACAAAATTTGGAGAACAGGGCTAAAATATGTTTGCTACTACAGGAAGCAAGCTAATGTTAACACAGCTGTAAATAAAATGGTGCGGCGCAGGAAAACATGTACTAATGTAATGATATATCTCCTGCGATTTATAATTTTAAATACCGTCGTTTCTATTAAAGTATTTTATTTTTATTTATGAAAAAAAGTTTTAAAGAATGATTACATTTTTATGACATTTATGGTGTTCAACTGATTTATATAGCAGATATAAACTTTAAGATAGTTTGATGCGAATTTCAGAGATAAAAAAAGGTGAAGAGGTTAAGCCTTTAAACAATAACAAATGTTTATAGTTTTACTCGCTTTCTGAATACTATGTATTATCCTTTAAAAAAGGGGGAAAACAAAAAAGAAGGGAATAAAAAGAAAGTCAAAAAAGAAAGAAAATATTTGAAAATAATTTTTATTTTTTTCGACTGAACAAATTCATTTTGATTTCAGGAAATTTTTAAACGTGATACTTTTCTCAATATGATGATTATTTTCTTTAAAATTTTCCAGTCAAAATTAGAATCGAATGCATGTTAAGCATTTAAAATTGTTTGTGTCAGTTTTGTTTCCTATGAGCTGTTAAAACGCTTCAAATTTTATTATTTGTCACATGATTGGCAAAGAAACAAAGTAATTACCATTTCGAATAACAACCAAGTTTTTTCAAAAATTTGTTATCTTCAACGTTTGGTAAATTGACAACTAAAATTTTTTCTCATATAACATATTTCAAAAAGTGTATAAGAGGTTGTTAAATTCATGTTACATAAACGATGGGTTGGAGTTCAAGATCTTTGTAAAATATAAAGCTTGTAATTGTCAGCTTTATTTCAAGAAATGTTTAAATTAGATTAAAACGCAAAACAGATTAATTAGGCATTTCTTTAAATTTCATTGTAAAGTGTAAGAGCTATTTGCAAAGTCCTATTCAAAACACAAGAAAAAAGTAATGCTCATTAATTTTCTTCTTCTATTATGTGTGTTTTCAAGCATGAAATAAAATTTAGTAGATACTATCTTTAGCAATGTCATCTTTATCATAAATATAATATCTTTAAAAGCAATTTATCATATAGCTAATAACTTTCATCAATATTTATCTGATAAAAGATTATATTTTTGCATACAATCTAAATATTAAAAAATGCAAATTATGTAATTTTGAAGGCTCGCGTTATGTTCAAACATTTCTGGAACATAGAATTTTTCTTCTTAAATTCTTGGCATCTAGGTTATGTTATTATGTGTAAACAAGAGAGAGAGAGAGAGAGAGAGAGAGAGAGAGAGAGAGAGAGAGAGAGAGAGATATTTTCGAAAACATTTAATAAGTTAATAATTATAATTAATTTTCGATATCATATTATTTTTTTAAAGAATAACTGGATGGACAAGGCAAGGCTTAGATAAAGTCCCGTTTTTGTTCTATAACTACAAAATATTGAATATATTACAACGGGACTAAATCTACTTTCTTTATAATGTAAATTTTTATTTAATTTAACCCATGTTTCGAGGGTAAAAAGTAATACGTTCATAATGCATTTCGATTTTGAATACTGTAAACACACTCAACAATTTTCTTTGAATATTTAGTTTGAAACCAAATCACTAACAGTTAATTTATCACTTTATGAAATCTGAGCCTTGCGAGCTCCTTACTATAACAAACATTCTTGTATATTTGACGTTTAACAAATTAAAAACTTGTGACTGACATGGCAGATAATACATTTAATGTAAAAAATGAATATGCTGTATAAAGAAAATTTAAATGTGACGTTTAACACATTGCATAAACATATCAACGGTATGATACAACTGATTTGGGCATATTGTGTAGACCACACACATTAGATAGCATATACCATTATAGATAAAGAACTATAATGAATAAAAGCGCTTGGGACGCATTACATTTCCAAAGTGTTATTTGCAGAAACTGGAATTTATTTTATTGTTTGATTAGTAAGCTACACCTTTAGAAAAGTGTGGGCTATAACTAAGGGGACGGGAAACTAAGCAATAAAAAGAAATAGTTGTTACAAATAGAAATCACGGAATATTGTATATTGTGTAATATGATCGAAACAAAAATCATGGCTTTATTGAGTTTCTCTGAATAGATAAGCAGTTCCATTCGCTTATTTCACCGGCTAAATGACTGCAAAAGCTTGTCTTTTTAATAAGAATTATTCAAACAATCGTTGAATCAATAATATTCTATTGATTTTACATCTAGTTAAACACACCTATTAATTCAAATGAAAAGCCATTAACTATAAAAATCAGAA